GCCACAGAAAGTCATTCCTGCCTGTGGTCATCAAACTTTATAACTCCTCCCTTTAAGTGTCTGACACTTAGTCAGTTATTAAACTAGACCTCATTATCAATTTTTTGTCCAATATTACCTGATTAATAATTAATGTGCAATATTCTCTGCTGCTATTCATTCACAAATCCTTTTTGGTTCACCATAATAATTCTTAATAATGTAAATATTGTACATACCCACACACCTTTATATTTGTCTTTATATTTTATATTTATACTGTTATATTTATATACTCTTTATCTATCTACCTTTGACAAGTGTGCAATTGTGACAAAAGAATTTCCCCCTCGGGGATCAATAGTAGTATTTCTGATTTCTGATATACACTATATTCCAAATCATTGAATTCAGCTGTTCCAATCTCTTTCATGGCCCCAGGTGTATAAAACCAAGCACCTAGGCATACAGACAGCTACTACAAACATTTTTGAAAGAATGGGTCGCTCTCAGGAGCTCAGTGAATTCAAGTGTGGTACTGTGACAGGTTGCCGCCTGTGCAAAAAGTCCATTTGTGAAATTACCACGGTTCACGGTCAACTGTTAGTGGTATTATAATATTGTGGAAGTGATTGGAGTGAGTGAAACTCAGCCATGAAGTGAACAGTGGCCACATAAAATCACAAAGCGGGGTCAGCGCACAGTGCACATAAGTTGCCAACTTTCTGCAGAGTAAATAGCTACAGATCTCCAAACATCATGTGGCCTTTGGATTAGCTCACGAACAGTGTGTAGAGAGCTTCATGGAATGGGTTTCCATGGATGAGCAGCTGCATCCAAGCCTTAAATCATCAAGTGAAATGCAAAGCGTCGGATGCAGTGGTGTAAAGCATGACGCCACTGGACACAAGAGCAGTGGAGACGTATTCTCTGGAGTGACAAATCACATTTCTCTCTCTGGCTATCTATCCGATGGACGAGTCTGGGCTTGGTGGTTGCCAGGAGAACAGTACTTGCCTGACTGCATTGTGCCAACTGTAAAATTTGGTGGAGGAGGGATTGTGGTGTGGGGTTGTTCTTCAGGGGTTGGGTTTAGCCCCTTAGTTCCAGTGAAAGGAACTGTTAATGCTTAAGCATACCAAGACATTTTGGACAACTTCATGCTCACAATTTTGTGGAAACAGTTTGAGGATGGCCCCTTCCTGTTCCAACATGACTGAGCACCAGTGCACAAAGCAAGGTCCATAAAAACATGGATGAGCAATTTTAGTGTGGAGAACTTGACTGGCCTGCACAGAGTCCTGACCCCAACCTGACAGAACACCTTTGCGATGAATTCAAGCGGAGACTACGAGCCAGACCTTCTCAAACATCTGTGCCTGACCTCACAAATGCGCTTCTAGAGGGATGGTCAAAAATTCCCATGAACACACTCCTCCTAAACCTTGTGGACAGCCTTCCCAGAAGCGTAGAAGCCGTTAAAGGGGGGGCTGACTCCATATTAAACCCTACGGATTAAGAATGGGATGTTGGCAATATATTATAACTATTGGCAATAGAATATACACTACATGGCTTACAATGCCATTGTTGGTTTGGTTTTAAAGCTACAACTATAAGTGTGTGGAGTGATGGTGGAAGAAATTATCATGACATGCAACAGCAGTATGTAGCGTGTACACAGAAGGAGTAATTAGCATAACCTGCAGCCAGACATGACTGATCAGCAGAGTGTGGGCTGGTCAAAGTATATTTTCAACATTTACTGGATAGATTGCTAAAAAAGACTTAGAGGAGGTTGTATGCAAATACAGTGGGTAAACAACAGAACAGGGGCAGCGTAGACCTTTCATATTTGGCACAGACAGCAGACTCTCTCCTCACTCTCCCACACTGTTTGTTTTTCCCTTTGTCTCTCGCTTCCTCCACCTTCTCTCACCTTCCCACATATCAAACACTCTTTCCCCCAAATACCTGCCTTTCGCTTTCTCTCTCTTGTTAATGTCCCTGTCTCTTTGAATGAAAACTTTGTGTTCACATATTGCATGTAACCCTGGACTCAGTGAGACTAATCTGTGATGTGGCACTGAATCTGTGTACATGGGACATGGGATGGGACATGTGGTCGTGGCTGACAACAGGCGGATGGAAGAATGTGTTGTTTAAAATGTTGACCCCACTGTTTGTCATTCTTGGTGCTTTCCTCCTCCTGACTGCTGTGTGCAAGATCTATGATTGCTACAGCTATTAAATCATCTATGGGTCAGTATATGCAATTACATACTGCACCCACCGATTCGATGGAGTGGATCCCACCTTTCAGTGGGGAGGAAAATGAAGTTTAATCTGAATCATTTCAGAATCATTTTCTTAACTATATTCTGAATCATTAGTCTTGAAATTCCACATTTTGCATAATTACAAGTGTTTGTATTGTATCTTATATTCTCACATTTTTCTTACATTATATTTTTATTCCCTTATATTCTTGTATTCTTATATTGTCTATTTCTTATATTCTTACCTAATCACCTACTCTGCAAGTACTGCCAAGGTTAATAAAATGTTTGTATTCTTATGTTTGGTTAGCATAAAATGCTAAAAGGGAGTAATGTAATGGGAATTCCAAACATATTGCATGTAACCCTGGACTCAGGGAGACTAATCTGTGATGTGGCACTGAATCTGTGTAAACACAACAGTCAAAATATCTCTGTTCTCTGTGGTATCCAGACTTCAGGGACAATGTGTCTCTGTGGGATGATAAGATTCACCCTAAAGCTGGATAAATAACTCCTCACTCATTTGAGCATACATGCATGTGTTTTGCTGTGAGTCCTTCTGCAGAAGACTTGAATAGCTGGATGTCATTATAAATACTTTAATGCAGACAAAATGTTGAGAATTTGAAGCCAAACGACCTTTATTAGTCAGTATTTTTAAAACATAGAGTTAGGTGGTGCACAGCCTTGTCTTTTGTTAAGATCTGGCTAAAAATATTGTTGACACAATGATATATTTTTAACCCAAGACTTCTACTACCTGTCCAACTACCAAAAATAATCTCCTCATTGTCACATTTCATTGGCAGACCATTTCAGGCCTTTAAAAAAATCATCGTAATCTTGAATGATGTTGTCATAATCGTTATCTTTGTAAAACACACACTTCTTAGCTATCATCAAAAACAAGTCATGAACAATCATCATAACCACTTCTGTTATAGTATCATTTCCCGTCACAGACTCATTCATCCATTACAATGAAAAGGAAGTGCGATCTATATCATAAACTAGCTCTGACTAAAGTTAATTTATAGATTTTTAATATATGACAACCTACCAGTTCAGTGTCGTTCTGTGAAGAGCTCTTCTCTTCCTCCCTACATGATTGTCATCACGTACATCAAATTCAAAATGATTGATAAGTTGTTTTCATTCCTGTAGACTCATTCAGGATGACTAAAACTAGACTATCTGGTCTAAAGTTTTGTGACGTATAGGAAAGGTTTCTGAGTAAAGAAAGAAGCGGTTATTGTGGTTTCCTTAGTATCTTGGTGATATGCTATCCATATTTCAAAAAGAAGTGGTGGAAATCCCTTTTAGGGCCGGCTCTTCTTTTTTTTTTTGTTGGCCTGCTTTGTTTCTTTCCGTTCCTTTTTATATTGTTGTTCATGTTAGATTAAGTTTTTCACTTCAGTTTTATGCACAGTAGAAACTCTGAGTGTTTGGTTAATTGTTGTCTCTAATAAATGTCATTGTGTAACACATCACTTGTGCTGAGAAACAACAGTAGTGTGTGGTTTCCCAAACTTGGCATTAAAATGCCCTTAAACAACTTTTAAAACATTGTACCCTAATTCACACCCTTTGACACAAATTCAAGTACCATTAATTTTGAGCCTGAGAAGGAAACACAAGTTTTCCCAGGTCATGTTACGGTCAATGGTTGAGCTAAAGATTCCCTCTCAGGCTCTCCTCTCAGCCCGTCAGATCGACTGATAAGGATCAAGGTCGAGATTATCTTTATTTTGTTTCATTACAGACAGACTGACTGGATGTCTGTAGAAAGTGTTGCATGTGACTTAAATGACACACAACTTTACTGATTATAACTTAAGAAATCATAGTGTCTTGTTTTGAACCAATATCCAATAGTGTAATATATTTACAAATGTATAGAGAGGTGATCAATAACCTTATTTGGACACTTAGTGAATCTCTTTAAGTCTAGAAGGGATAAATATCTGTGTGTGTGTGTGTGTGTGTGTGTGTGTGTGTGTGTGTGTGTGTGTGTGTGTGTGTGTGTGTGTATTGTACACAGTATTACATCACACATGCACACAGAACATTTCACTTCAACTTTTTGTAAACCAAAACACAAATCAAACTTTTGTTCTGGCAACAGCAGCTCTCACATCTCTGTTTGTGGGCAGTAGCGGACTCTTCACAAACACATGACAACCGATCTCTGCATGCTTGTAATCCAATAGTCTTTGTTGATGAATTTTAAAAAATATTCCCTGATATCCTGATTCATATTCACCAAAGCTGTGGTTTGACCTAATCTCTAGACAGAGAAAACTCGCTCATCAGGTCAGTTAACACTGACAATGTCAAACAGAGGACCAATATCTGACCCAGAAACATTGTTAAAGACGGTCTGATGTTTTGCTGCTTTAAATTGCAAACTGTGAACTGTGATACATTAAATTATTTTCTTGTTGTAAAATGGAAAGACTTATATAGTGTTCACAAATGATTCTGATTAGAGTATACACATTACTAATTGTGTAAACTTATGTTAATCTTGAATCAAGACAAAAAAAAAGAAATGTGGTTCTTCACTAGATTTAATTTAATTTGATTTAGGACTCACTTACAAAACTGGATAAAATAGAGTAATTTTAGGAAATGTGATGCCCCTGTAGGTCAATCTATCTCCAGTGTGGTGCCAGTGGAACTCAACATGTTCACAACAAGATAACTGAAATAATGTCTGTATCAGATCAGCACACTCACCAGTTAGGGCCAGGACAAGATGACTACTCTCTCAGCTAGAAAGGCAGAGATGAAGAATTTGGTTGACTCCTTTTTGTGTCATTTTGATAGCATTTTTGTCTGGGTTATACTCAGAGATGTAACAAGTAGCCTCTTCAAACAAAAGGGGAAGGCACAGTTTTTAGAAGCTTCACTTCCCTCTTATTTAACGCCATAGTAACTCTTGGAACTGGTGTCAGGGGTTATTTTCACAAGTCATGTGACTATAGTCACTTGATGTTGTTGGTTTCCTAAGAAGTTGTTATATTAAAAACTTCTCTTTTCTTACTTAAAATGTATGCGTTGATACTTTTACACATTTAGGGACAAAGTGTGCTGACTGTGTTTCTAATTTGTGACAATGCTCTTTTGAGAAAGAAGGTAAAGTGAATCAGAGGAGTTGGAAAACAAACATGTTGAATTACTAGTAATATAAAATGTAATGTTATTATTTACCTCCAGTAACCAGTAAACCTCATTTTCAGACCCAAATTTCAATTAAATAGCAGGATAATCAAAAACCATTTCTGTGCATGTGCATTTCCTGATGCTATACCAGCTGTTTTTGTGGCCCGGTGGCCTAATGGATAAGGCATCTGCCTCCGGAGCAGGGGATTGTGGGTTCAAGTCCCACCTGGGTCGTTCAGTGTTTGTTGGCTTACAAAACACACAACAGCAAAACCCTTTGGAAGTGTTAAATTATCATGTTGGTACACTTTCTACAATTGTGGGCAGAAAAGCAGAAGCATAGAAAGTGGCTGAATAACAGCACACAGTTACTATATAGTGTCTCTAGAGGAAGGAAACTGTTGCTGTTCAGACACCCAACAAGCATTACTGACAGAAAAGACTACCCCTTTAGGGTAGCTGATCGTAGCTCTTTTTACATAGCATCTGAGAATACTTCTTAGCTTTTATTCAGGTGCTTTCCCTCAGCACTTCTCTCTATGTGACAGGAACAAGCAACAACTCGTAAGATATATCAGCTACAAGGGTTCATAAATCTCGTTTTCAGACCCAAATTTCAATTAAAGAGATAATCAAAACCATTTCTGTCCGTCGACATTTCCTGATGCTACATCTAGTTTTTCAAGGCCCAGTGGCCTAATGGATAAGGCATCTGCCTCCGGAGCAGGGGATTGTGGGTTCAAGTCCCACCTGGGTCGTTCAGCATTCCTTGGCTTACAAAGCATACAACATTTAAATAACAGCACACATTTTTATACTGTCTCTACTGGAAGGCAATCATAGCTGTATGGACATCCAACAAGCATTACTGACAGAAAAGACTACCCCTTTAGGGTAGCTGATCGTAGCTCTTTTTACAGAGCATCTGAGAATACTTCTTAGCTTTTATTCAGGTGCTTTCTCTCAGCACTTCTCTCTACGTGACAGGAACAAGGAACAATTTTCAATTAAATAGCAGGACAATCAAAAACTGTTTCAGTCCGTGTGCATTTCGTGATGCTCCTGATGCTTTTTTGTAGCCCAGAGGCATCTGCCTCCGGAGCAGGGGAATGTGGGTTCATTGGCCTACAAAGCCATGAACGGCAAAACCCTTCAGGAGTTTAAATAATCATCTTGGTACATCACCTGTTACAGTGGTTGAGGTTTCTTACGACTGAAGTGAGTTTTACACCATTTTCAAGCTTATCCTATTAAGTAACATCAGACACTATTTAAACAATCTGAAGTGCATGGTGCAAGTGCATTAGGGCGGGTTCAAACCCAGTTTTTCTAGTTAAACGGTGCTTAATCTGCGCACAAAGTAAGACGCAAGGTGCAAAGGGGTTGTATTTAGTCTCTTAATTATAGGTTTGTTTTGGGTGTAACAAAAATGAAACCATTCATTAAATCAAAAACTATCAACGAAACTTGCGTTGTACTGTGCACTGGGTGGAAGATAGGACCCTGTATGTCTATTCATTTGTCACAGAGTAACATCCAGCTTGTTTTTCCAATCATCAGCCTTCAGCTTAAGCTTTTCTATGATTTTATGATATGATTTTTAGGTCACAACTATAAGTTTTGCCAACTCAAAATCGAAAAGAAGTTGATTCCACTTATTCAGATCTTCCAAGTACTCATCATCTTTGTTAGTCCAGAGTAATAAACATCTCAAGAACAATGCATGAAAGTTGATTCTGTCCAGTGCTGCCATCTATTGTAAGATGTATTAATTTGATTATTGCTACTTGGTTTATGCCTGTAACAGTATCTGGTTGTGTTAACAAAACAATGAAATTTTGTAAATTCCAATGCAAAAGTCCCTCTGGGATATGGGTTTTGTTGTTCTTTGTTTTAGACTTGTTTCACTCATGCGAAAACACAGGAAGGAATATTTTAGGAAATATGGCTCTGGGAGGGCTGTAGAATCCTAAAAATGCAGTTCCCAGTTTTCTTGTGGATGATGTTGTCATGTCATATGTTCACTCATACCTAATGTAAATATTGTGGTCAGTGTCTAATAAGATTTGAGTAAAGACAAGGCATACATCAGGGGTCAAGAGGTCAAGAATTTTTCTAACCAGACACTGTGGGGGCCGGACTTTCAAATAGAAAAATGTATTTAGGCTTAATTAGCACATCATTGTTTAATATTTTCATTTTCACAAAATGAATGTTAGCTTACATCAGTATGAACAGACTCCTGAAAAACATGGCAAATCCATAATGATAACTAGACACGCCAAAGTAATTGTAAATTAAAGATTGGCGGGAAATAATAATCAACCGGTTTTGATGCTATTATACCATCTCCCCCTCGCCTCCCTCCTCCCGCCCAGACACAGTGTGTCCAATAATCCCATACAACAGCCTCCGCTCCTCCTCTCTCCCATTCCTCTTATTAGCAGCCGCACACCGATTCTCTGCTTTTCTGTGCCGCTATTGTGTACATGACACATGTAGTTAGGCTACTGGAGATTAACAGCAAATGCGGTTTAATACTACAGGTCAAGGAAGTCTGGGGCAGCATTATCAGGCAATAATTGGTCTTTTTCCATAATTATGTGAGTATTCGTGATCTGACTTTATTCTGCACCTGATATGAGTCTGCGAACAGTGATCTTAAACTCTCAGCTCACTGGGGCTGCTCCTGACTGTTTCTTTACTGTAATACTCTATTTCTAACTGATCTGCTGTCAAAAAATGTTGCATTGCATTTCCTGTGACTAGCGACTTTAGAAAGTGGCTCAAAGAAGCTCTTTTTGTGGATGTAACTTTGATAGACACATTTGCCCCGAAGGAATACGTTGCAGCCACAGTTGCTGGTTCAGGGCTGCTGGTTGTTGTCGTGTAAAAAATTCAAGACTTAAGCCAGAAAAGAAAGCTTGAACTTTTACCAACATTTTTATTGTCAACAGAAATAGACACCACTTAGAATAGTTTCACTGGAGAGGGTCAAAATAGAGTCCAATTCTGTGACCAGAACAGAGACCCGAGCTGTATGTATGTTGTAACAACTGACTTTCAATTCCTTTTGGACCTCCTTTTATAGCTCTGTATCTAAGCGTTATATATAATCTCTTCGCTCTCTTTCCTGCTGATCTGGATCTGGGAAAGTCCCAAATTTTCGGCTGTCTCTCTTTTCTCATCATTTTCCAACCATTCAAAATTTGGTGGACTTTTAACACTTTTATTTCACTATGACTGTTTTGGGTGTCTCTCTTTTTGTCATTGCTTTCCAACCTTTCGGTGGATTTTTATTTAATTGTTCCTGGCTGCACTGCTCCCCCCCCCCCATGCCCTCTGCTGATCATACTATTTCAACCATAACCTGACTGTGGAATAAGTTGGTGTTTTTGTGCTACAAACAGTACATTCTTACTGTGATGGAACATATTGATGAATGTTTTGTAACACAATTTTCACAAAATCTGCTTCTACATTTTCCTTTGCTGGTGTTTTGGTGCTGTGTGTCTGCCTCTACCTCTGCCAAAGCTCACATGCTTGCTTACACACACACACACACACACTACTGCTGAGCCTAGGCATTTAGATACAGAAAGGTGCACACATAAAGATATAGAATTTTAACACTGTGATCCTAACTTTATACTATAATTAAAATATAACACTTTAAACGATGAGAATGTAGACCACCATCGCTCTAATAATTAATAATTACAATTTAGGCTTTAATGCTATAAAATTATACACAACACTGTACCTACTAGTCATTTTGACCCCAAAATATGTGAAAATAGGGCCCAGGTTTAAAAATACCAAAATTATCCATTAAGGCTATTCTTACATAGTGGAGTAATCCACTGAAAAACATATGAAAGTGTTTTTAGGGGGTTTTATGTAAAGGCAAGTGAAAACCAGCCACTTCATCTGCACCTATAAGCTAAAGGATGTTTGATAGATATAGTATCTTTGATTTTTTTCAGATGTTTTATTTTTTTATCTGTATTATAAAGTCATATGACTGCAACATTTTCATCTTGTCATAACCAGACCAAACAGCATTAGAAACCAAAATAAAAGCCTCGATTAGCCTACATTTTGGCCTACATATTTTAAAATTCTGGTAAACACTAGTTTACTCTAACAGCTCCACAGGTTTAATATACATTAATTAGAAGGTGTGAGGTTTGTTCCTTGAGAAATCATCTCAGTGTCCAGTGTCAGTGTCTGACAATTTAGCAGCTTTTATTAAGCATCTCACAACTCACTCGGTTTGTAAGTCATGTGGAGTCAAAATACATCCATAACGGACAGCTAGATCATAATTAATCATATATGTAGTTGAGCACTTTCTCATCTAATAGGAGCAGCAGACAGTGTTTATTTCCCAGTATGTTAAATTCAACCTAACCTAATATCATTATCGGGCTGTCACATTAAACAAGGTTGGCTTTTTCTGAGAATATTCACTTCAGCACTTCAGAAAGAATAACTTAATAACAAAATACAAAACACAACAAAATATAAACAAATACATTCATTCAACTCAACCCATCTTTCAGAGTTGTACCCTGGGTATAAATAAATAAATGTCCATATGACGGATTATTATTATTATTATTATTAACGGACATTCTAGCTGCCAGGCTCTTGTTAATCTTGTTAATAAGATATGTGTATATGAATGCAGAACTTGTAGATAAGGGATAAGATTTTGATATAAAGTGTTCTGGTATTCGTTTGTAGAGGTCTTTGGTTGCATTCAGTCCATGTGGAGAGCAAAAGAGGCAAAACAAACTGGCAATGCAATCTCAGAACCAGGTATCTGATGGATTCCGACACTTGGCTCTCATGAATCCTGCACATGTATTGTACAGCATTCACTGTGAGATTTCTGTCTGTTTTCAGCTCTCTTCCTGCCTTACTGGCATATATCCATCACCAGAGAGCTCTTCTAACCTATTGGTTGATATAAGAGCAATCCTTTCTAGTATATGAGTTGGCAGAGGTCGCTGAGCTGGACTCAAACCTGGCCCAGAAAAGTTCAAAAGCAGTGGTGCGAAAGAGGGCAAGGAGCATGGTAAGGCACTGAAAGGGGGTGAAAGAGGGGGAAACAGGAGACCTGTAGATTTAGTGGACTTATCAAGGTCCTCCAGGCTCTCCTCCTGACTCCCCTGCTCCTCGTTCCCACTGCTAATGCCTGAATCCAGGCTAGGGAGCTCGGGGCTGTCATTCTGCAGATTCCGGACTGGCTCGTAATCAGAACAAACCTGAATGGACCCTTTGCCAAAAATACCTCCACTGCCTCCAAACAACTTCTGTAAATCTCCTTCTTTTCCATTCCCTTTCTGCCTCTCCTCCTTGTCTTCAGGTCCCTCATCATGGCTATTAGTCACACTTATGCTATCTGCCTCCAGGCTCTCTTGACTGATCTGGCCACTGCACCTGACCTGGAGCTTCTCAACCTTCTCATAGTCTGAAATTACCGGCATAGGCTCACTGTTGTTGCTGCCTTTGGAGAGCAACTGTAGGATCTCCACTTCTTTCCCTCTCACCTCATCCCTATCCTTCACTTCATTTTTACCTTCACCTTGACTTCTAACAGGCCCATAAGGTGTATCGGAGGCACAGGGCTCCAGATTTCCCGCAGTGAGCGAGGAGACAGGAGGAGGAGGACACAGCTGGGAGTAACTGGGGTTGGAGAAGTTGGAACTGGCGGACTCGTGGTTTCCTTTGCTTCTCATCTTCTCTAGTAGTGTCGCCTCTGGCCCACAGGGTGCAACAGCATCCACAGTGGAGGTTATCTCTACAGAAACAGTTTCCACCGGTTTCAAGAAGGAATGCAAGGATTCGCCGGTGAAGTGGGGGCTCAACCAATTCTGGAGGAGGAAAGGTCAAAGGTCGATAAGCAAGAGGAGGAATTGGAAAGGTTAAAAAAAACAGAAGACATAAAATCAGCACTAGACTATAAGGTCAACGAAAAAAACTGTCAGTATGTGAATTGTCTGTAAATAGGCAAATACACAGTGTTTAAAGTGTTTTTATCTAAATTTCCTGCTGCTACAATTAAACAGTTTGAACCTTTTTGGATCATAAAGGTCACATGTCTTTTGACTAATAAGAAATATTCTGCTCTTTGGTTTCACATCCTACATGGGCTGTACATCCTGCTGTTTGTGTGATGTTGCTATCTTTAAAGCTGCACTAATCATTATTTTTATATTAATAGTGGGTCAAAGGACTATTTGTTATCACTGACAGGGTTTGGCTAAAAACCCAAGAAAATCATCTTCCAACTCTGGAGTTCTGTTCAGCTTTATGGACCTTTTAGTGTCTTTCAGCTAATTATTTTGGTTTTACTTGCTTGAAAATGTATGGTCTTATTTGCCCGTAAAAAAGGCTCTGACAAACCCACTGTATGATAACTGCCCAGCACCAAATGACAGACTGACAGTGCTGTTAGCTATACACTGGAGAAGAAAGTTGACAATCCAGCAGCTGAAGAGCCAAGTACTTTTCTGAGACAGTGGGAGACACCAAAACGGGCATGGTGATAGAGACAACCCATATAAATGCTACTGATGGCCTCTGACTGCTAAATGTGTAAATGGGTAATTTTCTGCTAACACAACATGATACCATATATAAAAACATTAACTAATGCAATTTTAATGAGATCTTACTATAACTGCTTTTATTACAAACAAATGTTTGGGAAAGTAAATATCCACTGTAAATCAAGTCTGTTTTTATTAAAATTAATTCTCACCAAACCCCGATTTCAATAAGTGATGAACACAAATAAGAAAGATTTCATAAACTCACCTGGAAATTTACATCCTGTAGGAATGACTTTGCTGGGTTCGGTAGGGGTGGGCCGCTGATTCTCTTTACTATGTAAATCCTAAAAGACAGAATAACATCATCTTAAAGCAGAGCTGTCTGAAAGATGTCTTGGGAATACTTGGTGTTTGTGTTTGCTTACCAGGTAGTTTTGTCAGTCTTAGCGACAGTCAGAAGGACGGCAAATGCGAGCACAGCTGCAACAACGCCAAATAAAACTTCAGTACCAACTGAAAAACACAGGACAGAGCATGTCACTTTAGTTAAGAGGAACGCATACTGTATTTATCCCACTGTAAAGAACAAATCGGAGTTGTATGTCTGTGATGTTCATGCAATTTTCCTGATACACAATGACATTTTAAGCAGTTAGTTAGTAGTGAAAAGTATTACTTTTCAAAAGAGAAATGTTAGTGTATGTTTTAAGGGTATTAAAATCACATTTGACTTTAAATTGTATGTATGATTACATCTGTTTACTGTAGAGGCACTACAATAGAGAATGTCACATACATACTCATTTACCAAAAAATATTGTGGTCAGGTATGGAAAGCCCTGTGCTGACTGATTGGATAAATAAATATTTCAAAATAAATTGACTGATGTGTAATTGCAAAAAGTGAATAATAGCACATCCCATGTGGGAATAGTTTATTTGTAAAAACATCTTAAAAAATCTTGATAATTTGATTGATATTTTGATTGAAATGACCTCCTCGCCATTGCACATGCCTGAATTTTGACTTTGGAGCCGTTCAACCTTCTCATAGTCTGAAGTTACCAGCACAGGCTCACTGTTGTTGCTGCCTTTGGAGAACAACTGATCTCTCTCCACATCTTTCCAAAAATTGCTCCTGAACTTGGCTTTAATGGGTGTGAGCTCCATAAGATGTTGTTTTCCACAGACTGCATTTTTTTAATTAAACTAATTAGCTTTGTTAATATTTGACACCTTACCTAATGTTGGTTTTGTTTTTCCTACGGTGGACTCCCAAGATGCAACGGGGCTCCAGTCACTCCAGGTTGACTTGGCCCAGTCTTCACTGCCTTGCACTCGAACACGTGCCTCGTACCTCTCCCCCATCAGCAAATCTGAGTCAGGGATCTGCGTCACTGTTAAGCTCCAGTTCCATTCTTTATTTACTGTCTTCACAGAGGGATCCTGACAAGGTAAAAACAAATGTTTGGATGCTTCGTGGGCCGATTTTCAGGTCTGTTCATTGAAATACATGCACAGATATACTAACATGGACAAATAATATATACATACACTCCATGAGCAATCCTCTCGTTTCCACTGTAGTTGGGAGATGTAAAGTGTTATTTTTTCATGTTTGTTAACTTGTGGGAACCAAGAAATTGCAGTAGAGTTGACATCTGGTTTTGGCGGTGGATTCAGCTTAACTGCAGTATCACACACACACATATAGTTTGTTACAGGTCATCACGACTAGCTCACAAGGTGAGTCACAAGCAGGCAATATATTATCGATTGTACTCACTGTGACAAGCTGGCTTGTAAGAAATGTGTAAACTTTGCTTCACAGGTTCACAGCTCAGATTAATGGACAACTCATGGAAGGTCCTAAACTGAGAAAAATTAAGAGAAGACTATTGACTAACTAATTAACATATTATATCTCATTTGTTTAATCCGTAAAGTGTTACAACATCGATTTATGGTTTTACAGGGGGTTATATGCAGGATTATTTGGCCAGGAGTAGGAATCTTGTCGTCACTGTTGCGGAAGATAAAGTTAATTGATGTGTTTTAGAGGAACTAGTAGGGCAATCTTGTTAGCATTGGACAGAACAAGGCCAGTGTTTCCCCCTGTTTCCAGTATATACCCTAAGGGTAAACAGGGTAATCAAGAGAAACAGGACCCAAATGCAGACCATAAAGGCACAGCTGGTGCAGAACAATGACTTATTAACAAAATCAAAAGACTCCAACGAACGCAAACAACACTTGACACAGGGACGAAGACAAACTGGCACTGACACACAGGAACACAGACTAATTACACTAGTGAGTAGCGATAGGTTAAAATGAACAAACAACTCTTTTTAGTGTCGGATATGTACAGGTCATTCAGCACAAATGCCATCAGAGCAGTCATCTTACCACTTACAATAGAATGACCTGCTACCATGTCCTATGTGTGGGGTGGTGATGGCGCAACAGATAAGATGCATGCCTTTGGTGTGAAAGACCGGGGTTCAATTCCCCACTGTAACTTATCTACCAATGTGTCCCTGAGCAAGACACTTGCTGAGGCTGTACTGTAAACCATTCCAGTTCAGTGCAAGCCATTCTACTTCAATAGGCCAACTTAGATTGGACACATTTTTAAAAAAGTGTATAAAATTGCAAAAGTCTAATGAAATGGCAACAACAAAACGGTAAACAAAGAAAAAAACAACAACATTTTAATGCGGAAACGAAATGGACGCTCCAAACAAGATGTGTTGTATAATATTGCTCATTGTGTTTAAACAACACGTTGATAGCAAAGGAAACAGATCAGTATAGTACATGCACAGTCGACAGCTGTTGCTGCGGACCATTTAAAATCTCTCTTTAGTGCATTAGCAGCCATCATGTATAAGTTTACATTAATAAAGATAAATTATTAATTTTAATGAATTGATTCAGCATCCCACTTATAGGTAGGCTATGTAGGCTCAATACAAGGTCGAGAAATGACCAACGATCTGTTGTTCTTTGTGCCATTAAGTACCATACATCCCAGCTAACTCCACAGTCTTCGGCTGCTGCTGCAGTCATGTGGTATCCAAATAATGTGAAAAATTTGTTCCCAATTACATTTCAAAGCTCACCTACAACATTTTGCTAAAAGTATCAAAAATCTAGTTAAGGGAGGGTAACTAGACATTGGTGAAAGTAATCGGGGCGGGGCAGACAATCTAAACTGGCGGGTAACACACAAAGGCAGAAAGTAAATCGATTGACAGGAGAGCAGAGGTAAAACAAACAAAGCAAAGCTAATCAGCTGTAGGCTGTAGTCTTATATTTAACAGACAGACACAAGAGAGGTAATGGTCTTCCCCTTCTCTGCAAGAAAGCAAATATGTGGATATTTCCTAACGTGTTGAACTATTTCTACCACAAATCTTCTCAGACTCACAATCCAGTGTGTTTTGAAGTCCAGGGAGCACTTCTTTAGCATTGGTCTGGAGATGTCAACAGGCTTCAGGTCACAGGAAGCACTGTACACAGGTCTACTGTAAAAGGAAAAAGAATTTCAAGTTCATTTCATTTTGCTGCATAATATTATTTGGGTACAGGGTAACTGTATATTTGCATCTACTCTAAGTACATTACCCTTTGACTTTTTTGGCGTGTATTGTGCACACAGTGTCTGCATGGTCAGACACATATGTGCTGTTCCACACACAAGTGATGGTATGATTGTAGTCACTGTAGCAGGTGAGATCTGTGAGAAATAATGGAGATGATATTAAATAAAAGTGTGGAAACATTTTCAAGAGTTTTTCTGTTGTTGTTTTGTGATTAGTCATGTTTAACAAAATGTCTTGAAATAAATTATGCTAGTATCAGAATAGGCTGTACATCAAGTAATCAAAAAATCACTAACTGTTGTTTGGGAGGCTACAACAGTCCTGTGATCTGGTGGTGCAGACATGAAGCAGAGCAAGAAGAAGAAACAGCACAGGGGTTTTCTTATTTCTCTCCATTTATCGTGTTATCAGTCTCTCTCATCTCAAAATAACAGGATTGTTGGTTTCCAAAGCTCAGTGACTTGGATATGTGGGGCTTTGATGGATTGTTCTTGTTTCGCTGTGTAACCGATCGCTTCCTCTTTTTTCTCATCCTGTGCAGATAAAAAGATACATCTGTTCACAAGTGGCAGAGGGGTGATACGTAGGCCTGCTGTATGTATATATACCTCTTTATTTTGTGGTATTAGTCAGTTTATTTCTGCTCACACATAAAATACCTCTGGCCACAAATAGAGCAAGAAAGAGTTGTGATACCAACAGGTGATCGAAAAAACAGAAATAGAAATGTTTCAGATTGAAACAATAAATGTCTGGATTTCATAACCAAATGAATCGAAACATAGAGCCCAGGTTATCCAGTGAATTATGTTCCTGATCGAACTTCTTTTAGGTAATTTGGAATCTAAAATGGATGATGTTACGTAACACACAGCAGTGAGACCAAAGCAGTGAGATCACTGTCTACATTCACATCCAAAGTTAGAAATGTTGGGTTTCAAACTACAAACATGCATGTCACATGTCACAGATTCAAAGCAGCATTTGGAATCTCATTAACAAATCAAGCAGTTTTTCTAATCTCACTTGTCAGCCACTATCAGCTCAACTAACAGTCTACCTCTTTCTAAGCTCTTTCATAAACATACGTTTTCGTTTCATCTGTCTTCTTCTGACATTTGGACTTCCCCTAACCTGCTATAACCCTCTCTTTCCTCCCTTCATCTTTCACCTCTTTGTTTCACACACAAGCACAGAAACCACCGCAAACTACTTCTTTCCAGAAGGTTACTGTTGTTTCTAATAAGAAAAAAAGAACTATCCAGGAAGCATGCTCCCTTTCTTGCACCCTTACATAGATGTTTTGTATATTTTTGTATTTTGTATATAGCCACTTTTTTTCTTTTTAAAAAAACATTAAAGCCAGGGTAAGTCAACGTTGGAGAAACTAGCATGAGACACCAAGATTTTCAAGATTTCAAGATTTTAGTTTCCAACTAAAAAAATCCTACTCTCTCCCATTAGGTCTTCCTCCAAAACCACTCCGCCAAAACACATTTTCATGCGCAATGACCACAGGTAGAATATACAGGCAGGTAAGCAAGCAATCATTTTGACAGATCATTTTAGTGTATTGCAGATATAGAATATAACCTATTTATTTTTTGCAATAAAGAAAACTAACTTGTAACAGCAGAAGTGGCACTAAATGAAGAGCCGTTTGGGAGCCTAAAGGGTCAGCTCTCGGAGAGGAAAGGAGCCATAAGATCTTGCTCCCAGGAGATCTGTAATTGGTGAGCTGATGTTGTATGCAGATACATTTCTACTCTCTAGCAGGTAAATAACAGAGCAGGGGCAGTATAGGCCTTTCATATTTGGTAAAGACCGCAGACTCTCTCCTCAGTCCCCCACACTGTTAGCTATTCCCTCTCTCTCTCACTTTCTCCACCTTCTCTCACTTTCCCACATATCAAACGCTCTTTCCCCAAATACCTGCCTCTCTATTTCTCTCTCTAGATCATGTCCCTGTCTTGAATGAAAGCTTAGAGTGTATGTACAGCAGGATGTCATTATAAATACTTTCATACAGACGTTAAAGATGATTTTTTTTTTTTTCAGATTTTGCATTGTTTACTCTATGAAATATTTTCACACCAAGACTTCTGCTACACTGTCGACCTGTCCAGGGTGTACCCCGCCTTTCGCCCGATGTCAGCTGAGTTTGGCTCCAGCCCCCCGTGACCTTGTATACAGGATAAGCGGTTGACGATGGATGGATGGATGGACTTTCATTGTCATATTTCATTGGCAGACCATGTGAGGCCAATGAAAGCACAAAAAAGTCAGCAAGAGGGCCTTGAGTTAAAATGATCAAAAACACCTCCTGAACAATCAAAACACACAATATTATCCCCTCCATCAACATAACAACTATAAAATTTTAAAGCACCTACCAGTCCAGTGTCTTTCTGTGGAGATCTCTTCACCTTACATGTCTGCCTATCACGTACATCACATTCACAATGATTATTAAGTTGTTTTCATGTCTGTAGACTCATTCAGGATGACTGATGACTTGTGTTTTCTTTGAAAAACTAGAGTATCGGGTCTCAAAGTGATGAGTTTTTAAGTGACGTAAAGGAAATGTTTCTGAGAAACGTCAAAAGCAGCGGTTTGTGTGGTTTCCTTAGTATGCGGGTGATATGCTATCAGCGTTTCAAGAAGTGTGAAACAGGGTGGAAAACCTTTTTAGCTCCTCTTCTTTTTGGCCTGCTTTGTTACTTTCCATTCTTTTTTTAATGCTGTTCATGTTACTCTAAGTTTAGTGACACTTTAGTTTCAGTCACAGTAGAACATCTGAGTTTTGGTCAGTTGTTGCCATCAATATCATAATAATAATAATAATCCTTATTTGTAGAGCACTTTTCAAAAACAAGTTACAAAGTGCTTTAACAAGTGTAAAGAATACAAAAAAACAAGATAAGAGCACGAAAAATTAATATAAAATTAGTAAAATACAATAAAATAAAAGGGATAAAATAAAGTCAAATAAGATCGGGAAAGGCTCTCCTATAAAAGTATGTTTTAAGAAGGGACTTAAAAGAGTTCACTGACTCAGCCGACCTGATTTCCTCAGGCAGGCTGTTCCAGAGCCTCGGGGCCCTGACAGCAAACGCTCTGTCCCCTTTAGTTTTCAGTCGAGACTCTGGAACAGACAACAGACTTCTGCTCGAGGATCTCAAGGTACGTGCTGGTGCGTATGGGACTAAAAGGTCAGAAATATAACAAGGCGAGAGGCCATGAAGAGCTTTAAAAGTGATCAATAGAATTTTAAAGTCAATTCTAAAACATACTGGGAGCCAGTGTAATGAAGCTAAAATAGGAGTAATGTGGTCATATTTCTTTGTTCTGGTTAAAAGCCTGGCAGCTGAGTTCTGGACAGTCTGGAGTTTACTAGCGAACGGACATCGGGTCTCAGCAGATGGCAAATCAAATACTGCCACCTGCTGAGACCCGATGACCAGGATTTCTGTTTTGTCTGAGTTCAGCTGGAGGAAATTATTTGACATCCATTTTTTAACTTCACACTTCGCTAAGGTCCAGGAGTACCAGGACTGAGCACATGCCTTCATCAGCAGACATTAAAAGGTCATTGGTGACTTTAAGCAGGGCAGTCTCAGTGCTGTGGTACTTCCTAAAACCAGACTGAAACTTTTCAAATAATTTGTTATTTTCCAGTACAGTGAGCAGCTGTTTGGACACAATTCTTTCTAGAATCTTTGCAATAAAAGGCAGTTTTGAAATTGGTCTAAAATTATGTGGGAGGGAGGGATCTAAACCAGGTTTCTTTAAAAGTGGGTTCACGCAAGCCGTTTTGAAATAATCAGGGACACAACCAGTAGATAGGGAGCTGTTGAAAACAGAGATCAAATGGGGCCCAACAGAATCCATTACTTTCAGTAAAAATTTTGTAGGTATTACATCAAGTGGGCTGGAGGACACTCTCATTTGTGATACTGTTTTTAAAAGCTCAGACAAGTCGATGGGATAAAACTGGTTAAAACTCTCTTGTTGCTGATGAGGAACCTCTGAGTAAGAGGCCGCGGGGGTAATAGAGGCTCTGATTGACACCACCTTATTGGTAAAATAAGATAAAAACAATTCACAGTCATCATTACTTCCAGCTGAGGCACAAGGAGGGGTTGGGTTTACCAGCTGATCCACAGTCTTAAACAGAAACCTGGGATTGTGTTTATGTGTAGTAATGAGTTCAGAAAAATAGTGTGTTCTCGCATCCTTAACCATGTTATTGTAGTTAATTAATAAATCCTTCAGACTGAGGTAATGGACTTGGAGACTGGATTTTTTCCATCTGCGCTCTGCTTTCCTGCATTCCCTTTTGAGGCTGCGAATGCTGTCATTTATCCAGGGTTGCTTACTAGCTTTAGACGTAGGCCTAACCTTTAGAGGAGCAGTAATATTTAGTGATGACAAGCAGATATGATTGAAGTGATCGACCAGATTGTTGGTGTTGGAGTCAGACAGGTGTTGGCTTTGGCTCTGAAAGAATGCGCAAAACTTTGAAACACTTTGTTCATTAAAGATGCGAGAACACACGGAGCTTGGTGGGGCGGCATGAGTAACAGGCGAATCGCAGCTAAAAACAATACATCTGTGGTCAGATATGGTCATGTCCACTAATTCCACAGAGGAAATGCTGACACCCAGGGTAAAAACCAAGTCCAGTGTATGACCACGGTTATGTGTTTGCCCTTTGACATGTTGTCTGAAGTTAAAAGAAGTGGCCATATTTAAAAAGTCAGTTGCATTAACATTGTTGGGGTCATCAACATGAATATTAAAATCGCCACAAAGAACAATTCTGTCATAATTTAAAACCAGAGTAGATAAAAATTCAGGAAGTTCTGATAAAAATCCTCCAGGCGGTTTTGGGGGGCGATAAATTATAACAAATGATAGGTTGCAGCCCTCCAACTTTAAGAGTGAGAACTTCAAAGGAGTTAAATTCATCACAGCGTACTTGATGACATTTAAAATTTTTCCTATACACGCTCACTAGCCCACCACCACGACCACTGACCCTCGGTTGACTAAAACAATCATATTGAGGCGGACACAGTTCAGCTAGCTGGCTATAGTCATTCATTTGCAACCAGGATTCAGTTAAAAACATAAAATCTAGATTTGCAGACAAGATAAAATCATTTAAGATAAAAGTCTTACTTGACAGAGATCTCACATTGAAGAGAGCCATTTTAAATGAGTTTGTTCTGGGTGCTGGAGTTGGTGCAGTTGTCCTAATCCTTAAGAAATTACTATTATTTCTGTGTGGGATGTGCACATTTCGGTTTACTGGTCTATGCGTGATGATGACAGGAATAGAAGTCTGTGGAACAGTGCTGGGAGCAGACGGCTTTACATGCCAGCAGGTGGAGACAGTTGTTTGTGGCAGTGAGCCAGAGATCTGTTCAGTGAGCGGTGGTGTGTCCAGGTGTGCTGCATGAATGATTAGTCATTCACGTAAGTCATGTGTGGACCGCACCACATGCTGTATGTGCGCAGCTAACATTTCTGAGCCCTGTTTGGGTGAAGTCCGTCTGTCTTAAAAAGAGACATTCTTTGCCAGAAAATATTAAAATTATCCACATAACACACACGATGAGCCCTGCAGGTGGACTGGAGCCAGTCATGGAGGCCAAGGAGTCTACTGAAGTGGCCAGCACCGCGACCAACTGTGGGAATGGGACCAGAGATAAAAACGGACTTTCCACACTGCTTTAAAAAGTTAAAAAGACGGTTAAAATCTGATTTTGTCAGCTCAGACTGCTGAAGAGCTGTGTCATTTGTTCCCACATGGACTATCACTCTTGTGATGGAGGACGGGAGCGACAGCATCAGGTCCTGGAGTTTTTTTTAAATGTCAGCTGTAGTGGCACCGGGGAAGCAGTGAGTGGTAGCGTTAAAGAAACGGATGTTTCTGGTTATGGAGTTACAAATTATTTGTGTGGTTGGGGAGAAAAGAGGACGAGGAGATGCCGGTTGTGGGGTTCCAGAGCAGGACTGAGCAGAATCTGCTTCAACACTGCATGCGGACTGAGGATGGAGTGTGTGAGCTCCCGAGTGGAGTAGCACTAACAGACCTGAGAGAAGGGCTACCCAACGGTGCAGGGTAGAGACGGCCTCCGGAGCGTCTGAGCACAACCTCCTTCAGGATCCTACATCGGGAAGCGGAGGTTTTTGACCGGGATGACGGCCGCCGATCAGGCCCAGCGGCAGACCGGCAGCCCAGTGCAGGAGATGTAGCCGGTGGAGCAGATGCAACATTGTCGGCAGGCACTGTGCACCAAAAGAGATCCGTCTCAGGGAGACTCGAAGCCGCAGGTGCATCCGCTGGATGGACCGGAGTGTCGTTAGACAAGGCTGCATAGCGGTTGGAGAGGCCGATGTGCGGAGGAGAGGCAACCCCGTCCGAGCCTCTCTTGCAGCCATGGACCACCACTTCAGCCCAGGTTGACTGATGCTTCGGAGTTGAGCAGGAGGAAAGCCTGGGAAGGCTGTAGGGGTCCCAAAACACGGTGTCCTGGATGTTAGCGGTTGCGCTAAGAGAAACAATCTGTCTGGCTTGTACTGAAGCCACATCCATAAAGCCAGTCAGCGGGGAATCTTTCTCTTTGAGTTCCGCTGAAAGTCGTCGGATGTCTTCCATAAGGTCAGCAATCTTCTTGTTCGCTTTCTTAAGGAGTGAGCAGTCCTCAGGGGGCAGAGTTATCTCGGCTAGCATAGTCACCGGAGCTTTGTTGTGATCAGTAGCGTTGATGGCGTATTTACGGTCATCTAGCAGGAACCACCATAACCACACTAGATGCAGAAAAGGCTTTTTGATAGGGTAACTGCAAATTTCTTTTATCAGCCATCCATCAGAACTCTGGCATTGAAGGAATTTAACCACTAAATGTCCATCATAAGATTAGTCTTTATGCAGATGATATATTATTATCATTACAAGACCAGTCTCATCACTACAAGGAAAACTAAAACTTACTGAAACATTCAAAATACACTATTAACTGGGAAACATCATCTATTTTTCCACTACACAGTGATAACTGGGATGTGGTAGCCCATTCACCACCTAACCCATTATGTACAAGTCACATCATATATTTAGGCATCAGAGTTTCCACCAGGCTGTCAGGGCTGTTTTGGTCTCAACTTCACTCCACTACTTAAAACAATAAATGATGACCTCCAGCACTGGATGAACCTACCAGTACCTATTATGGGCAGAATATCTATCATCAAAATGCCAATCCTTCCAAAAAAAATTATCTACTGTCAATGATCCCGACTCAACCCACCGTAACCATTTTTAAATCATTGGACTCCATCATCTCTAAATTTCACTTGGAAAACAAAGCACCAAGAAACAAATTGATCACACTGCAAAAACAAAAGACACAAGGAGGCCTGGAAGATCCAGATTTTTACCATTATTAACTGGCTAATCAGCTTCAATATATACTAAAATGGATTTACCAAAAAGAAAAAACTTGGTTTGATATTGAACAAACACAAAATATTCTGATCTCAGACCTACCAGTCCTCAGCCAAACAATCCAACGCCATCCTTGTTTCAAAACATTAACAATAGCAGCAGCTTTGACAGCCTGATGGAAACACCACTTTTACACCCTCTAAACATACTCCCATGTGGAAAAGGCATCACGTCTTCAACATATCTTCCATAATAACACCCTGGTCTCATTGGTCCAGAAGTACGGCATCGGGAGTAACCACATTTTGGAATATTTGCAGCGCAAATCATCCATCCAAACAAAACTTAATGTTTTCATTTCTACTAACTTAGATATTCCTTCTTTGACTTCTTAATAACATCCAATCCTCAAAAAAACTCCTCTCCATAATATATAAATTAATATCACAGTCAGACAAGATAATATACATACCATGAGTAAAAAGGGA